ACGACAGATCTTTCTATAAACTACAGATGGCCTCACAAGGACAATCGGAAAAATTTTTGGTACGTTTCGAAATTTAATTATTAAGACGTCCTTTTAGCAGAAATAAATACAATTCTTTGAATTTTCTACATTCACAACAACTTTTCCCAAACTTATGTAGGGATATAACAGTAGCGTGTAAATATAACGATTTATTAAAAGAAACAAGTTATAAAATGAATAAGATTAACTTAAGAGAACATGGAAGCTTTACATGAATGAGCCAAGCCCTCACGACGTCTAACTTTTTCGAGGGTTAATCTTCGACTCCCGATTCCGTCCTTTTTAAAATTGCACAGTACTCAGTACTTCTTGACCGTCCCAGAGATCATTTTCTTTAAGCAACGGTAATAAACTTTATGACAGGGTTGCGTCCGAGGATCTGGCTGCTACACGTATATTTTCTTAAAAGTCACGTCCGCATACTACACTTATAAAGATAATTATTCAAAACGTTGCAATCATGGGACGACAAATCATTTTGCAAAATACGTATATATCTCATGAACAGAACTACCCCCTAACCAGTGATTTTTACTTTTGAGTACGTTGTTTGAAGAACTGTGCTAATTCGTTTTATGTATCTAACATTATACGTTTTGCCATAATAGTACCGCAAATATTCATCCAGCTTTAGTTATATTTTCTTGAAAACTCATTTGAATGGTAAATTTTTAGCAATTGTACGTCTGACGCAAATGTACATTCTCGATTCGTAGGAAAGAAAATGCAAAGTCTACAGAAAGATTTAAAATCAAATTTTCTTAAATAAACCGAAGCTGTTCCTTCTTAAGGACTTAAGGCTTACATTAGCAAATCAAACAACTACACTTCTTCAGGTAAGTTTGCTTAGAAAAATTGAAACGAAGCGATAGTGACGATGCAGGCGCGGCAGCATTTATCTCGAAACGATTTATGGGAAGTATTTGTTCATCTGATTTCCTTTAAAGGAGAAGATCTCGTCGATATTCACTAAGGAAGGAAACATTTTGATAAATGAGTATAGAAAATAATAGACTAGTTTGTCCAATATAACCTAAAAAATGTATGAAAAACATACGTTGTTATTTATTTGTAGTATCTTTATTAAAACAAATAACGCAGCGTTATTTTGGTTAACTTCCGAAAATAAATTTGGTAAAAGGTATCATTTGCTATTCTTGTGATACATCAGATTTTTCGGTTTTTTAAATTTTGGTAAAATGGGTGGTAAAATGCCGGTAGCGATGCAACGGAAGTGTCATAACGGAAACAGATGTAAATAGTAAATTTTTGCGGAAGCGGAAACGGAAGCGGAAGTGTAATGATTTTAGGTAACTCTATAATGCAGTGATCGTGCGCCCTATTAGCGAATAGTTTGTCACAAATTTTGCATTTAGCACTTGCATCGATAATATCAACACAATAATTCCAAATAGAACTTCTTTTTGTCTTCAAAACTGCCCTTCTAACTTAAAATTTACACCATTGAGCTAACACTGTACAAAATAAATAAACGCTATAACTGTATTAGTATTTTCGAAATGAAACTATTAGGAGAACAGGCTAAGGGGGAGCCGAAAGTCCTGGAAATTTTTAGATTAACGTAGGAAATTAATAAGAGAATAAAATTTGGAAAACATCGACATAAGAAATACTAGAAAATAGATTTAGGCATTAAACTACAATAAAGTTATTTGCACAGGAACAATATTATTTTTAACAAAATATCGCCAGCTATAATACTACATTGACGTTAATACTTCATAAACATATACGATTGATAATAATACGTTTACAATGCATGTACCTACACAACTTGCAGCTTTGCAACGAGCAATTCCATTTAAATTGTGTTTTGATAACGCCCAAGTTCAGCCAATAGATAAAACTAATAAATTTTTACGAATTGTTTTATTGTTGCGATATATTGATATTCAAAAAATGAGAAACACGATTTTAAGTTTCCGTTATAAAAATGCAAAACCAGATGCAGAAGCAGATGTGAAGGAACTTCCGTAATTGCGGAAGCGGAAACCAAGGTCTGTTGCAGCAGTAAATTATACCTCTCCTGGTCGCAAATTACGTAGTCGTTTTGTCTAATATTCCATTCCACCAATAGGCATTTAAATGGACCCCTGCCTCTGAATCCATTTTGCAAAGAAATTTTTCATCTACTGCTACGACCAAGATTATTTTAATCTATAAAAGCTCTAGTAAAGTAGTAACAGTAAATTTTGTGTGATGTCGTGACAAAGACAAAAAGGTTAATAAAATTATTAATAATATGGCGACGTCTTTATGTAAATTAAACCTTCCAACGTGAAATTACTTTCGAAGAAAAATATTCTATCGATTAATAGAAGCACCAACTCGAGATGCTGATCTCTTGCAGAGTTGCCAGAGGCGTGATAATTTATAACTTCCCATATGACTGCATATTCACCCTCACTTTAATAAATGTCATAAATTTTCCCTGCTGGTTGGAAGTTTCGATTTAAGGTTAACAAGTAATGCCCTGTTAAATATATGAGAGTGTTAATCACAAAAATGACGCGCCCCATTGTTTATTGGTAATGTCTTTTATACTACACGAGAACACTGTTCCTTGAGAGGAAATAGGGAAAATCTTCTTTGTGTTTCCTGCATTTAAGAATGCCTAACTACTGTATGTCTGTCGCATAAGTAATAGATAATGTCTGATTGAACTAAAACATGATAATTAACGTGTTCTGGATTTGTTCCCACAAGGGGTCGTGTTTAAACCGAAAATAAACCCCACAGATACCCATCATGATCGAAAAGCAGGGGTGAACGCAAAAAATGTTTCGGGGGAGAGGGTTTTTTTTTTAAAATTGCAGAACACGTCCAAATTTAATTTTTAAAAATTGATAACGAAAAATGCTTCTCATACATTATAGTTATTACAATTTTTGGTACATAAAACATACTGTTTTAAAGGAAATTTTATTGCGATTACAATGTAAAATCAATTCTTCAATAGGACAGGATTTTTAATAAATAGATATAATATTGTAAATGGAAAAACACAGCATGAAAATGACATTGTCGATGGTAACAAACGTAAATACCAAAAAAGGGTCTTTAAGTATTTATTATTTTGAATTTTAAGCTGATGCAAGTACATATAAATTTTACATAACATTTTCAATAGATGTTTTTCCTTAATATTTATAGTATATAACAGTTTAGACTCATCCTATAAACAAACTATTTAAAAAGATAGGTGTAATTATGAAAATGTAAAATGTAAACAATGTGCAAATTTCTCACACACTTTGGGGGGGGGGGTTAGCACCTCAAAATCCTCCCCTGCGTTCGCGAATGTTTGAAAGTGTTAGGCACACAACTGCAACCAAGTGAATATTAAGGGAAAAAGATTCTAAGACTTCAATCATTGAGCTTCCTTTATGGGTTCTTCAATTTCTTGAGGTACAACTTTTTCTACTTCTAACTCTAAGTTTTTTAATATATATGTATGTATACTACTAACATATTCTGATACTGATATACATATTATTGTATAAGCCTTTCTACCAGTAGGTATAAGGCAAGGGTCAGCTAAAATTGTTAAACACTGTTTCTGATGATATTTTGGTTATATGGATGTTATATATATAAAATTCTATTGATTAGACTTCTCAATTTCTTCTTATTCTGCGCCAGCTCCTTTCCCCGGTGTAACGTCATATCAGTTTTCTCTAAGATCTTCTCAAAATCGTTTATCCATATTTCCGATACTTTCCTTACTTGTCTCTCTCTATTCATTCATTCATTCTCACATGTCCGAACCACTTCAGCTGATTTTGCTAATAATAATGTTTTGTATTGGACAAATTCCTAATTCTTACCGGATGTACATGTTTTTTTTTGTCTAGCATTGTTACTCCATGTACGCCTCTGAGGTATTTCATTTTCATCGCTTGTGGTTTACTTTTTTGGCTCATTTATAATACACATATTTCCAAACCAAACGAGAGTACAGGTCTGCGTCTACCTTCGTTTTCTTCGACACTTTTTCTCTCCTAATAAAATTTCTGTTTAGGGCACCGAATACTTTAGCAACTGATGAAATTTTTGTTTTGATTTTGTTCTATTATATATATAATGCTGCAACCGTAATGACTTTTAATAAAACACCGAAAGAAATAGGTTCCTTGAAAATACTTCAGTCAAAATTCAAGTCAGCTTTTGTCAATTTAGAATTTAAGCTGATAGAAGTACACTTCTGAACTTCTTAAGGACTTAAGGCTTACATTAGCAAATCAAACAACTACACTTCTTCAGGTAAGTTTGCTTAGAAAAATTGAAACGAAGCGATAGTGACGATGCAGGCGCGGCAGCATTTATCTCGAAACGATTTATGGGAAGTATTTGTTCATCTGATTTCCTTTAAAGGAGAAGATCTCGTCGATATTCACTAAGGAAGGAAACATTTTGATAAATGAGTATAGAAAATAATAGACTAGTTTGTCCAATATAACCTAAAAAATGTATGAAAAACATACGTTGTTATTTNTTATTACTTTCAAATCTTAACAGCTTAAGTTTTATGTAATTTTTCAAAAACGTATCCAAATTGTCTGAAGACATGTAAGACACTAACATTTGACAAAAATCTGTCACATTTCAATACCGCAGAAGTTCATTATGACACTGCTCCCATAACTAATTAATCATTAGTCGCCTGCTACTGAGGTAACCTGGGGGTCCTTCTCGCTCATTGCAATACCTTCTTAGGTGACACAATTGGTTTAATAATTGTTTATTATTATATCCTATTTTGTAATTTTCCACCTTTACAAGAGGAAATGCTGCTGTGGTTTTCATGCTTCAATTATTTTTGGTTTTTTTTTTCCTTTCTATTTTTAATGTTCTTGTTGAGGTTATTTGCAGTAGTACTGTTATGTTTATCTGGAATTGTAGTTGGATGTATAAATTATGTCGATGTTTTATTTCAGGTTTTGTTAAAACGGGCGCGAAGGGAAGTACACAGGGAAACTTTGGTCTAATGGATCTTGTTGCGGGTCTACATTGGCTCCGAGAAAATTTACCGGCATTTGGCGGCGATCCCGAGAGAGTGACCTTAATGGGACACGGGACTGGGGCAGCTTTAGTGAATTTCATTGCTGTGTCCCCCGTTGCGAAGGGTAAGTTCATTTCAACGGTCTCCATTAATGAAGTTACAACCTTACGTTAAGGATTTTACGGAGCAAGTTTACAATAAATTAGCCACTTTGAAAATTAGTTCACTACCGACCGTTTATCTCTGACAGTTTCGCGATGTTACTGACTTAGAAGTGCTTCTAGATTTTTGTTAATTTATCACAGCACAGGATATTTTCATTAGGTGTATAAACTGTAAAATTTCACCAAAAAATTTTTGCATTGTACCAGGTATACTTTTACATAGGCAATAACTGTCAAAATATATGGGTCAATATTACTAACCGAAGGCGCAACATTCAAATTGTCAGTCCTCATGTAGCGGAAAAGGTACTGTTAAATAAATATTAGACATTGAACGATGAGAATTGAAAAAGGAATATAGTAGATTCCAAATTATTTCATACTGATAGGTATGAACAAAATTTTTCTAAATAAGACTACAGTTTTCTTAATAATTTTTAGATTTCAATTGAAGTAATGAAGCAAAACTTTCTGTAACTAATTCAGCCATTAATTTGTAATTTGTGATTTTCAACTATTGTTAATCAAGAACAGCTATCCGCTGAGACAACTCATTTAATTAGATCAGTATGTAAATTGCGAAAATGAAACCGATTTTGAAGATATTTAATCTAATAATAATGGATTCCTTACGAAATGGAGATAAACAAAATTTTGATGAATGAGTGGACAGAAACTTTTGTGTAAATTATCGTCGAAAAGCTACATTTTCATGAACAAAATACACATAAATTAGGAAACATTCGGGTTGACTTCATTATCCCTTCTGAGGACCGAATAATTTAATTAGTGGTTAGAATATAGATACATAACAAAATTATGTAAATTACCGTTGTTCTGCCTGCTGAAACTTTAATAAATCGTACGTCATTTAAATAAACAAATACCTAAGCAGATTATTTCGCGCATAATATCCATCAATATCGTTAGGTTTAGTACACAAATATCTGTTATGTGTGTAGGTGGAAACATTTTTAACGAACACCGGGATTGATTACATTATCTATGGTGTTATTTTTAATTCTTCCTCTAAGTACTAATTTACTGATAAATAAAAAACCTTTGGGCTAGAATAATTAAAAATTAAGTTATCGGACCTCATTTTTTTGAACAGCGAAATATACTAGACCTTTTTGGAGAAATATCTACCCCTACTGCTTAAGAACACTCTTTTTTAAATCAGAAGGACTATGCTCATTTTATGTGATGGTACTCTGGCCCATTTTATTGTAGAGATGTCATTAATTTCCTCAATGATCTATGTATCTTAACCCACTTGACTTTTTCATGTGGGGACATGTGACGACACTTAGCTTTAAAACACCAATATTTTAAGGAGGGTTGGTATTTCGAGAAAAATAAATAGAATTCTTTTTGGTTAAAGTTAGTCACAGAAGTATTTTAAATAACCCAACGAACACCCTATCCCTAGGCAAAAATTTTCAGTCTCTCCAGTCCCTCAGAGTCTTTCACAGTCTTTCAGCATCTCTGAGAGCGTCTCTCACAGTCTTTCACAGTCTCTCAGTTATTGCCTAGGTGTTTTTATAGATCTTTCACAGTCTCTGTATGAGAGACTCGAACGATAAAATTGTTAATTCAGAGATTCGAGTCTCTCGTTCAGAGATTCGGGTCTCTCGTTCAGAGACTGGATACGAAATGAGGATCTCTCTATGAGCGACTCGAGTCTCTCGTTCAGAGACGCTAAACAGTTTTTTTGACAGCGTCTCTCAGCGACACCAGAGAGACTCGATGAGAGACGGAGACTTGAGTCACGCTTTTAGAGACTTTGAGAGACTCAATATTTTCACCTCGGGTACCACTTAACAAAATAATTAATTATTTCTTTCTATCCACGAAATGCTATGTGACTTTACGTTGTAGAAGTTTATTTCTATAAAGTGTTTATCTCAATTTAATAATTTTACGAATGATTGAAATATCTTATGAATACTCCAACACATAAAGACCTCGTAAAATTATTTTAATATTAATCCGTTCGAAATATGTACTGCGCGTATGTGAGGGACATAAATTAGTTTTTATGTAAGTTAGAGTCTATTAAAGGTGGAACGACTGAACGCATTGTTTTACGTACTTCAAGACAGTTTAATTAAGATGATAAGTCACGCTCTGCAAATTATGCTACGAATAATTCACAATAGAATCCAGAATTAAAGAGAACAGGAAATGTCAGGGGAGTTCTTGGGATTTAAGACAGGAATGATCGCAAGGGAGACATTCTTCTGTTATCTAAGGAACATATAGATGGCGGAAAAAGCTGACACATCCATTCCGTGAACTGTAAGACATTTGATAAAAAATCACGTCCATTCCTTATAATTTTATTTCTTGAATGTTGTAACATACTATTGGCATCCACATTTCATGTTTTCTAGCACAATACAAGTATATTTTTGAATAAGTTATTGATTAAATTATTTTAAATTAAATAGATTTGTGACGTTAAATTATTTTTTTAAATCAATACTCAATAACAAACTGTAATGATGTTTTAGGTGAAATTTTATAACTTAATACATAGTAAATTAATATTTAAGGGATTTACTAATACAACAAATAAAAAAACACGTTCCAACAAACCGTTGCTTCAAAATACTTAGCTGACACGATTTTAAGTTTATTTTGTTATACATAGACTACTAATTAATTAGTTACATCATTATTCTGGCTTAATGACTAAACAGAAACTTTAATACAATATTTTATTGTATTTTTTTTGTTACAAAATGAACTTTGCATTTATTTTTAAAGACGGTTATTCCTTCTTTCCAAACTTTCTCTTTATTTATTTTAATTACTTCCATAATAAGGAAAGAAAGCACGTATAAAAATGTAGATGCTTTTATACTAAACGTAATTAAATTTGTCCTTTCTGCGAAAGTCTCAATCTAAAATTTTTATTCGACAGTATAGATTACCGAAGAAAAGTTATTTTAAGATCCAGAAACTTTTTATCCTAGTCATAATCTCGTTCATTTGATTATTTCGTTAAAGAACGAATCGCATTTAATCCTGTTGTCTGTAAGGGAATATTCCCATTTTAATGCCCTAATTCTTTGCTAAAGTTTGACATCCCGAGTTAAAATAATGAGGTGTAACCGTTATCGGACGATTTGTTTTCGTTACTTTTAGTTAATTAACTGTCTAATGATTTCCAGGGTAACAGAATCTGACGTAACGGTAATAATGCAAAGCTGCCAAGAGAATTTAAACGCAAAAGCTATTATGTTCCTGTCGCGGTTACACAATATAAGTACCTAAGTACATAAGTACATAATCTCAAAGGAGATGTCATAAATAATTTCCTATAAATGCTGTAAAATAATGTCAAGGAATGACATATTGCTTTCCCGTTTTGACTATTATGTATGAAATATGGGGGCCCAAAAGAGGCGAATATTTCTATTTTTATTTAGTGTGATAACAAATTAATTCAATATGTTTCAATACCCACCAAAATCAGCTCGATTAAAAAATGTCACTCAAGATTTTTAAAAATGGTGCGATTAAAGTTGTAAATATTCTAAAAAAAGTCGATATCTTAAGTAAACAAGTTCATGGTGATCACTATTCTATAGAAACTGCCAGACGCAGATCGCGATCTCGATCTTGTTATCAGCGCGTCTCAGTCAGTTTCGATAGAACACAGATAAACTCTATCTGTTGGCATCTCCCGACGAATTTTTGAAATTAATCAAAGCTTTCGGTGACATCTTTGCGCCACTTGATGGTTTTCTCGAAAAAGTATGAAACCTAACCTAATCTATCTTAATCTAACCACAACGAACAAATGGAATGCAATACAACGATGTTTATGAAAAGAAAGCCACCACAATCAGAATAAAGATATTCCATTTGGGATAGTTACCTTAGGAACCCCAAAAAAAACAAAAACTCAAACTGGACATCTACCCCCAAGACCACCGAGACGTAGTAACACTGCTGCAGAAGAAAGAAGAAGCTAAAGTCCATCTACATCAGTTGATAACTCATGCTACCATCACGACCCTCTAATTCGTGATACTATTCAAGACAAATCAACCCCAAGAGGATAAAGAAGCTCACAAAGAACTCAAAGAATTGAAGACATTTCCAGCTTCCCTTTGCCCTGTAATTCTTTGAAGACGACGATGTCTTTTGTTTTAAGGGAGGAAGACCGACCTTTGCTCCGGCCCTACTAATGGATCATGCCACCGGTCTTGACACCTTTTTTAGTATATAAGGTCTTACTTTTCTCATCTCATCTACCGAGTGGCATTGTCTAGAGGTTTAGACCATTGCTTAGCATTAGGGAGGACGCTGGTTCGATTTCGGGTCCGTCTGCCTTGGTTCAAGTTTCTCTGTAGTTTCCTTGGATCACTTAAGACAAATGCTGGGATAGTAATATTCTACAGATAATGTTACATTCTCTTCTGTCTCATGTTTCTCACCCGAACCACCACCCACCCATTCCCACGTTTCCTAAAAGGAGGCTGAAGAGGGCCTTCCGCTCTACCATACGGCGTAATCCGGAGGGACTGCCCGCCCACCAGTATAGTGGCTGGTGAGAATAAGACACCCAAGTTTAAAGTTTTTTTCATCCCATTAACAGTCTACTCAATAGGTGTAACCATTTGCCACCATTGTGTGTAGTACCTAATTAAAATATCAAGTGTAATCAAGGTTCCAGAATACCGAACCAGATAAATGTGTTAAAACGGTGTTTTTAAAAAAACCCATTCTGACATCGTACGTTTTAACTATACCGAGTACATATTAAAATTCTTGCATCTTTATTTAACTGCATTAACGTTATTAAATGCTTGTTGGTTAATTTACCGGTGATCTGACTCAAATGCCCCTTTCGAATTACTGTTAAGTCTATGTAGATTGTAAATTACGTATAATACTAGGGGAGACCGGGGATGGTTGACTATAGGGGTAGGTAGACTAACTACCG